AATTTAGCCTTTGTTTGAGCATTTTTTTTTCAATCAAAATACATTTTTCGACCCCATTTCAATCACATACTTTTAATAAAATAATATTACACGAAAATTCAAAACTTTTCTTTATCTTTTAATCATATATTCTCCAACAGAAAATAAATGGGGTCAACCAAATTTAAATTGGAAAAGGAAACACGTGCAAAATATGTACAATTTTATTTACGTGTGCAACGTGTGATAGAATATTGATAGAAGTTTTTAAATGCCATAATGATTATAATTAAGCTAAAGCACGTTTTGAGATGGAAAAAGAGGACTTACCGCCTGAGGAATGCCAAGAACTGCAAAGAGAGTCAAAGCGCCAGCAATGACACCGCCGTCCGGCTTCAAAGCGGTGGCACCACCACCACTAGTGACGGCGTATCGTCGTCTAGACTCGGCCAATTTGGTGATCAAAACAGTCATAACCAAGCAAACGGCCAGCAAGAAGTTGACAATACCCCAAAGTCTCTTCGCCCCACCAAGCCGCCGCCCAGAAAACTCAACTCCCAAGGAGGCGAATCCCAGCACCACCGAGTTGAGCATCAAACCGAGTGCACCGGTCCGCACTCCACGGTCATACAACCCATTGTCACCCACCTTTCCACCGAAAACCTCCTTCCCCATCCAATCAGTGTCAAACAACAAGAACGGGAACCAAGCAACCCAATTCAAACAAGTCACCAACATTAAAATCCACATAGGCCTAGGCAAATCCTTTAAAGCAGCAAATAATTCCCCCAAAACAGGTACCCCACCTCCCTTTTTACTACCCTCCACTCCGCCACCAGTTTGCTCCGCCGTAGAAGGGGCGGCGCCGGTGGCCTTTTCATGTACCAATGTTAAAGTCAATGTTGTAAGGGTAATTAAAAGGGCAATTGAAAGGAAAAAACAGCTCTTCAGATTTGCGCAGTACACATCACAAGCTTTTGTTTTTGAAAATGGAAACATTTTGTAGAGGTGAGTGTATGAACCTGCAGCATACCCCAACACATTGCCCACAGCCATGAAAAAGGAGAATAATGCATTCGCCATTGACATTCTGCGTGCATTGCCGCCCGAAAGATCAGCCAAGAATGCTCTACAAGGGCCCTGAAAAAGAAAAACAAAATCATAATTAAAGAATTTTTATACAAAGATCAAAAAAATCTACAAAAATAATTTGGATTGGGCATACTTTTAAGAACTATTGACATATAAGTCTTTGCATATATAATTTACCTGCAACATGTTGTTGGCTACATCAAGGACCCAGAAGCCAACAACAAAAACAGCAATAGCTCGGGGCTTAGGGGAATTTCCGAGGGGGTCACCTGAGGAGTGGCCAAGATCAGCTGCAAATCCAATAAGGAAGACTGCTATGGTGACGAGGGCAGATCCAGCCGCGATAAAGGGGCGGCGGCGGCCAAACCGGGAGGAGCAGTTGTCACTGTAATAGCCAACTACAGGCTGCACAAGCATGCCCGAAACGGGGCCACATAGCCAGATGAAGGCGGCCCATTTGTGGGGTATGCCAAGGAGCTGCACATATGGAGTCAGAAGGGAAAGCTGTAACGCCCACCCGAATTGTATTCCGGCGGCTATCGCGGCCACCATTATAATCTTCCACTGTGGTTCTCGCGGTGGCGCTGGTGATGGTGGTTGTAGTTGTAAATAATTTACAACATTTTTCACTCCGCCACCGACCTCCATATGCTCCTCTCTCAAGAAAACTTAAAAGTATTATGTCTGTATAATTATTGAGGATTCTTGAGGTATAATGAG